TTTCTTCCTATTCTTCTTCTTCTTCTTCTTCTCGCTGATAAATGGGTTGAGCCGCGGGAGACACGAGGATCGAGATTTCTTTTCGTTTGCTCTCATTTTGTATGTTTCTGGATGTTGGCAGGTTTTTAGGGTACCAACGATCGCGATGGGATCGTCGGTTTAAGTAGGAGAATCGTTAGGGATGAGGTGTTTGTGAGTTTTCGCGTGGAAGGGATTAGAGATTCCGAAGAGATTGGTTAATGCGGTGAATTAATCGAGAGGCTATTATCTAGGAGATTGGTCTTTAAATATTAAAACGTCTAGATCGATTCTTTCAATTTTCTCGTTTAGACGACTCGATTAGTGTGACATTTTTCTTGTAGTACTCGGTTGATTTCTTAGTTCGACGTAAGCGACGGATGTAGTGTTTTAGTTTTATTAATCCGTTGAAATGGATTTCTCTGTTGTCCTTGACTGGACAGCTGACATAACGTCTTCTGGCAGTACAGCCAGCACTCGCAGTCATAACATAATTCAATAGCAAACGCTCGAGCCTCTTACAAAATGGACAATAGTCCCTGGCGTCCAGTGAATTCATTTCTGCGATTCAATCTGTCATTTTTAATCAACCTTGTCCAATCATATTCGCATTAAGGCGCCACTTTTGTAACCGACCGCGCGATTCGAGGAAAGATTGATGCCTTTTTGCACAATCGTCGAGTCGCGTTCCTTTATGCAATGGGATTACATAATCAATAACATTACGAGGCGTCCGCGAGTCGTTGCAGGATCGTTGTTATTTCAAGCGGTGATAGCCAACAATAACAAGTACCTACTCGGTAAATAGCTAAATCGCATAATTACCATAGACCGTGAGCTGTGCATGGTAATCGATGTGTTTCTTTATTCTCCCATTAGTTGATCACAAGCAAAGGTATTTTCAAGGTAGATTCCCTAATTAGACGCTTCAACGAAAACTCAGTTCTCAATTGCAATTAACGTAAAGTACCGATTACGAAAAATCGTACTTATTCGAAGCAATAGAGTTTCTGCAATTAACACAGACCACCGCGTAGGTTAAAAAATATCACCTCGAAGGGCAGTCGAATTTTTGCAATTAGTAAACTACCGATTACGAAAAGTCGTACTTATTCGAAGCAATAGAATTTCTGCAATTGACGTAGACCAGCGAGTAGGTTACAAAATGCTACTTCGAATAGAACTTTTGCAATTAACGTGAACTATCGATTACGTTGAAGAATCGTACTGTGTTTCCTTCGGTGCTCGACGTTTTCTCACGGTCGACATTATGCACGTGAACCAGAGTGCGCCGTTCAACCCGTGCCCACAGTGTCCTCAAAGCTAGGCATCGTACTTATGAATATGCCATTGTTCCGTTTTCAGAAAGAAGTCGGGCTGGATAGTGAATTCAGTGTATCCCTCCGTGAGGCCGGGAACATCGTCGGAGGAGAGATCGAGGTCCGATATCGACTACGTCGCCGGCCCGATTAAATGTAAGATCCACGGGCTGAAGGGGGCACGGAAAAAGGGAACTAACCCGGACCGCGACGATGTCGTCGGCTGCGATGGGAAGAGCTCCGTGAAGAGGCATCGCGGCGGCCATTGCGGCGGGTGCCGGCATCGACGACAGAGGCGTCGTCGTCTTGGCAAGGTGATTATCATGGCTGACAAACGTTTTCCCCTGGAATACCATCGTGAAATCACCTTTCAATGATCACTCCCATCTCGCGTTCTTACGTTAAACTGTTCTAAGTACCGGAAAAGTTCGTGTTACTAACCCCTTGCCCTATGGTTTCCTTTCCGGTTACAGAGATGTTCCGTTGTTCACGGTTCATTAGGAAAAGAATGAAATTCTACACTTATTTTATGTCTACGTTTATTCAGAAGCATTAAAAGTAAGTTACTTTTGTTAAATTCTATTTGAAACCTTCAACACGAGTGTGATATGGTGTGCGGAGGTTTTCGTAACATTTTAGTTCACTTTGTATCAAATGGGCATCATTAACATCAATTTTATTCGTTAAATTAATGAACTACCGATTGATGACCTTGATTCATTGCTAACAAGGAAGTCACACGAACTTTTTCCAGTACGGAATAGTTTCTCGATCGTTTACCGTTCGCATTCGATCTATTCGTTCATTTGTTCTGCAAACCTCTGAAGACGAAATATACCTTTTACGAAGCGGACAGATTCAAAGAATGTCTCCGAACCTAAAACCTGATGCGTTGGTCAGGATTTAAGTGGAAAAGGAGATATTCGTTAATCTGTGGACGAAGAATAGTTTGAAATATTTATCGAGCACTATTCTACGATCACGTGGCGGATACACGTTTACTCTCTGTTTTGAAGAGAGTACACACTATTGTTTAAATTTATTCGGTTCCTTCATTGTTTTACCGAATACAGTGATTGCATGATAAGAATCGTTATCGTTCGTGATAACTCGGTTCCCAATTCCGCCAATATGGCGTGTGCAAGCATCATGGGAAACATTTCGATGGATGCAACGAAATTGACAGCCGAATTATGCATCGTAGAAAGTCATGAGGATGACGCCCATTAGAATGGATTTATGATAGAGGCGTCGAACTGTTAGTGACTTGTAATCAACAGTTTGCTAGTATATCTTTTCTGGCAGTCGCCTGAGACTGTATGCGAGCAACTCTATGCAGTGTTCAGTACAAACAGGTGAAAGCAGGTATGGAAAGTCATTATGAGCTCGCTAACACCTAGTTGCACTTTTCTGATTTATGGAATCGCATCGATTATGAAGATCCAGCCACGATAGATCAAAGAACTTGAAAGGTTTTATCAATGATCGCCTGAACGTGAAAACACACTGACATGTCCACTTCAAGGACACTTTAAAGGCCAAGGATGTATACAAGAAATTAATCAAGACATATGAGGATCGTCGATTTCCTACTCTGGCATTGATGAGAGCTCTGTTTAAGCTTGCTTTTAAAGACTTTGGAAATATGAAGAAGCGTGTTTCAGAGAGTTTATCACTTTCATAGAAACTTACAGACATTGGGAGTAGAGGGCAAATTGTTAGCTAAATTGTTAGCCTCTTACAAACATATTGCCATGGTATTTGATAGCTTCGATGCGGAGATTACTAGGATTTGCAACAAGAAGAGACGAAAATGGGCTAGTAACAGGAAGTTTTGGAAAACGATGTCACCTGTTAAATACGTCGAAAGATCTGAGAACATCAAGAGTATATTGCTTCTGGCGTTATTAACTGCATGGCACCTAACAAAAATCGGTTACAAAATTGTATAAAATTACCACAGCGAAAGATCACTGGCAAACAATGGAACACTCGAAGCGATAGGATCTGGAGATCTCAGGAACTTTGATACAAAGGATGGGACATTTAAATGAAGCAGTACGAGTTTGCTACGTAAATGATTGTCGACAGGTGTTGAATTTAATAAGTTGAATAAAACATGCGAGCAAACGAGATTACCATTTAACCGAGATGGGAGACAAAGGAGAAATGATATTTTTCGCATAATACACGCAGATTTTTTGGAAGACAACAGAATTCGACATCGAACGACAATTTCATATGCACAGGAACAAAATAGTGTGGTTGTGTGACTTTAATATAATATTTTGCGAAGCAGCTGTCGAAACGACTGTTCAAAGAATTGATTCAAAGAATCATCACCTCAAGTCACCTGGTACAACTGAAGAGGAAAACACCATCGTGACGGAAGGGGAAGAGTACTAATGCTCAAGGTGTGAACTGCATTTCCGGCGAAAACTACCTTGGACTAGGAAGTGAACATACTGGAGAGCTTGAACCAGAAGGAGAATCATTCTATTGAAGAAGACACCTGCGGAATAGGAAGACAAAGAAATTTCTAGGAATGGTCAGGCATCGTCAATAGATGTAAAGTGAATTTTATAAATGTGTAAAAGAAATGTTGAGTAAATTGGATACGTCCGACAGTCCGACAGATTGTCTGATATATACTTCTCAATACGAAGCTAAGAGAAATACCATAAATAAATTCAAAGAATACCTGTTAAAACCCAACAGTCTTCCCACTTCCTACGATCTCCATTTTCTAAGTTTACGAAACATCGCGCGTTGACATTTTTGACTCGTCATTGATCCATGTTAACACTTTCCATCAGTTTAATTAGCGAAGAACATTGTTCGATCCTATTTTCTTATTAGCAGTATTTCAATTGTATTCGATTCTAATGGTGGTTATGGAATCTTGTATCGTTGATCTTTTAGATGATTATATCTGTATAACAATGGATCAGTGTAAGAGCTACACCGTCAACGTGGTACAGATGAAAGTTACTGACGATCATCCATACGTGTCACATTTGAATAGTAACCTCATTCGAAGCAGACGTCTAGTTGAGAAATTCGCTCGTTTCGCTCGGTGAAATCATCGCGTTGCATTCGGGAACTTAAACTTGAAATTCTGTATCATTATGTAGAGGTTTGAGGTCACCCGGGGGGCTGAGGTCACCATAAGAACAGCCGCGATAGAAAACATCGGCTGTTAATCTGACATCGGTGATCTAACTGGTATCTCTGCTTCGAATGATCCGCCGCGCGATCCCTGACTCGGCATCTAACGCTGCCCGACATAATCACCTACATAAATACCTGACGTCATCGAAAGTCAGACCGATATTGAACTCGACCTCTTTTCTATCGTTTCCAGATATCAGAAACAACGTTGCCCGATAAATCTTCGAGGAGCTACGCGTTGAGCGGTGGAGCGTCGGCGAGCAAGGGTTCGCCTTACCCTTAAGGTTCCCGTGTCGTCACGGAGTCATCATCACTTTCGATCGTTCCGTCGCCTTTCTTCTTCGCTCTTCTGCGTCACGGAAACGGGGAACAGAGGAGAAGGCTCGGGTTGACGGGAGGAAGAGGGAAACGTCGGAGGAACGACGGTCAAGACCGAACGGAGTCGGAAGTGGACGCGAGCGATCAATCAATCAATCAGCCGATCAATCAATCAATCAAGAAGACGTCTAGTCCCATGAAACAGTGATAATTGGTCATCGTATTAACGGTTAGACGAGGCAGCTTCGAGCTGCAGTCGTCCCCTCGTCGAGTCCACGGGACACGAGACTCGGGATCGAAGAAGTAGAAGAAGAAGAAGAAGAAGAAGAAGAAGTAGTAGTAGTAGTAGTAGTAGTAGTAAAAGGAGAAGAAGAAGAAGAAAAAAGAAGATGAAGAAGAAGAAGAAACAGAAGAAGAAGTAGAAAAAGATTTAGAACGATGAAAATTTAGGACAATTTTTTCTTTAGACTCGTTAGGGACGCGGTCAGCTCGGCAAAGCTTTTCTCTTCGCGATACGAAAGGCGAGAACGGGGGATCGGTCTTTTAACCAATTTACGTTTCCGTTCTTCAATTTTATTTTTATCGGAACGAACCGCACGAGCGCGTTGCGCGTCGTGCTCTCTTTCGCGACAGGATCACGATCACGAGAACGAGATTCGAACGGTCTGAGCCGGATATTAGTCGCGCGATCTCTTAGAGAAAGACTTAAAACAAGTGTTATATATATATTTTTTTTTTGTTTCTTTTACTAATTTTTTATTTGTACATATGTATATCTGTGTATAGATGAGTAGAAAGAGAGAAAGAGAGAGAGAGAGGAAGGACGAGAACTCGAGCTCTCTCTTCCTGTTGCCGATGACTTTTAGCTTCTTTGTCGAACAATGATCTCACTAGTATTAAATCGAATGGATTATATATATTTATATACATATATATTGATTTATATATGTATATGTTATATATATATATATACATATATTTTGTAATGTAATCGCTGAACGAACTAGTCATTAAGGACGATGGTCGAGAGGCGTCGAGCGAAATATTACGTAAAATCGTGGCAACGTCCAGCGGCGTAATGGCGTTTCCTCGCATCCGCCATTTTGTCGCGCCGGGTGCGCCAAATTTGAAAGTCGTTTTGTACATAGACGCGCGTTGTATAATTTTGTACAGATTGTATATCGTTTTTACTCGTTTCCCCAGCAACGGGAGCTTCCGAACATTCGCTGTAGCCTGTATTCCACGTCTATTAAGAATAAATGAGTATTTATACCGATCGAAACCGTTGCCTTTTGGTCTTCGCCTTTGTTTCCCTCTTTCCTGCCCTGCCGTACTGATTCGGGGAGGGAGGATGACGGCGATTTGCACCGGACACGTGGCGGTTCTTGCGTAACTGCCGTGCTGGTAGCGATGGGATCAACAATTCCGATTGCTTCTACTTTCGTCGAGGATTTTATGCGGATTTGATACAATGATTACACATTTTACAACGCTTTAACTGGCTAAATGGAATTCTTCATCATTCTTGGAAGGATGTGGAAACAGATATTTTTAATAGAATACTTTTTAATGACATCTGTTAAAGAAGTTTCAGTGTCTATGGAAGTTTCTGGTATTTTCTGATAGTAGCTGTTAAGTAAAAGAGCTTGTAATCGTAATTAGCGATGGATTAATAAGAAATGATCCAGTATTTGTGTTCGAATGTAAATGTCATTGATAATGGTTTCAGTAGAAGTACATTATCAGACACAGCAATAAAGAATATTAAAGTAGGTGGAATGTCGATAGCTGACAGTTCCTTTGATTAATGGCTGCGCCTGTTTCTGTCTAAGTTGTAACGAATTTGACAGTTTTTTGATAATGCGTAATCAATGCTACGATTTGCCCATTATCTCATGGAACAAAAATAAATTTGGCCGGACAAAGAATATTTTTATATTTGTTTACGTAATCAGTCACCAATTTATAAACGATAAAACTGGCCAATCGGGCTGGTATAATTAAACTATTTATCAGGATTGTACATTGAAATGCATAAAAATATGTACGTTTTAGAAGCTCGAGATATGTGAATTATAATATCGAATTTAATGTGATACACCACTGATGCGATTCGTGAATTTTTGCGTGCTCGTAATCTCCCTCGCTTGCACGCCTATCGATAAGCTGTGGTGCTTATTCCCCGTTAACTTTTTAGCCTTTTTAATTATTGTTTCCTACTTGGAAATTTTATTTGTGCATTTTATGTTGGAAATCTTGTTTATACATTTCAAAGAAAATAACGTGGTGATAAAATATTTCAAACAACTGAATGTAAGATCAGCATTACTCATTGATATTTATAGAGTTAACATTCCCAGTACACATATCCTACGTACAAAAACGAACGAAGTACACTGTACTTCAATGCATTTTGCAACATTAGCAGTCGTTGATATACTTTTCTTTCTTTGCAAATCGACGAGCCGTTTCATTCAGTGAGCATCGGAGTTTGACTTGA